ATAAATAAAATCTCTCATTAAAATATTATGTCAAAAAGTTACCTTCCACCATATAATAAGATAACTAGGCTGCTTTTTAAATTGGAGGCTTGTTGAGTCACTCAAGTCCAAATTTTTACATGAATACATTTGAGTTATTGGTGGATCCTACTCAACTAGTACCATGTTATTTGGATGTACCTCACGTGACCGCATAATATTAAAGGCATAGCTAGGCAAAATTTATATGATGCATTTAGACATAAAGTTGTCACCTAACTGATCTAGGGGTTGTATAAGATAAAAATTTCTTGAAATAGTAGAGGAGGGATATTATGTTGATAAAATATGGTGAATAATCATATAAGATTCTAAAACCTTGTGTTTATGATTATATAATTTTTGTTAATGACTAATAATCATATATGCTGGTTTATATAAGATATAAATCTATCATGGCGAATAGTTTGTCAGTTAGAAGCATACTTGATGCAAACAAGTTGATAGGCCCAAATTTCATTGACTGATTTCACAATATCAAGATTGTCTTGAAACAAGAAAAAAAGGCTTATGTCCTAGATGGTCCTGTTCTCGAAGAACCTAACGATGATGCTACAAATGTGGAAAAAGAGGCCTATAGATTTTATATGGATAATCATATCAAGCCACATGTGTGATGTTGGCTAGTAAGGCTCTAGATCTTCAAAAGCAACATAAAGCTATGAATGCCTTGGATATTATCCTCAACCTCAGAGAAATGTTCGATAAAGAAAGTTGCACAAAGAGATTAGACATTTCAAGGGTATTGTTCTGATGTAAGATGCTTGAGGGAAGCCCAGTAAAGCCTCATGTGCTTAAGATGATAGGATATATCACTTGACTTGAGAAGTTCGGTTGGGTTATGGATCATGATTTGAGCTTAAACCTTGTACTTCTTCGCTACTAGAGGGCTATTCACTATTTGTGTTGAACTTCAACATGAACAAGATTGAGGTAACCCTTTTGGGCTTATTGAATATGCTCACACAGTCTGAGAACACCATTGAGAAGGAGAAGCCTTTAGTTCATCTTGTCTCTTTTAAGAAAAATAAAAATAAGAAAAGAAAATTTTCTATGAAAGAGAAGGGTGAAAATGTATCAACTTAGAAACATATGAAGCCTACTGGAGGAGTAAAGAAGGACAAAGACAATGAGAAATGCCATTTTTATGGCAAACGTGGACATTGGAGGTGCAATTGTAAGGATTATCTTGAATCCATTAAAGGGGAAAGCCAAAAGGAAGCTTCCATATCATGCATGAATCATATGATGATTTATT